AAGAATGAAATCTTGCCCTTTGCAACACAGACGGATCTAGAGAGTATAATGCTAAGCAAAATATGCCAATCAGAGAGAGACAAATACCATATGATTTCACTCATATGTAGAATTTAAGAAACAAAATAGCAAACAAAGGGGAAAAAAGAGAGATGAACCAAAAAACAAATGCTTAACTATGGAAAACAATCAGATAGTTACCAGAAGGAGGTGGAGGGGAGGGATGGGGGAAATAGGTGAAGGGATTAAGAAGACACTTAATCCTGATGAGCACTAAGTAATAGATAGAATTGTTGAATCACTAGGGATGCCTGGGTGGCTCAGTCAGTTAAGTGTCTGCCTTCTGCTCAGGTCAGGATCTTGGAGTCCCGGGATGGAGTTCACATCAGGCTCTCTGCTCAGCAGGGAACCTGCTTCTCCCTCTGCCTTCCTATCTCCCTGTTTGTGCTCACTCTCACTCTGATAAATAAATAAAATCTTTTAAAATAATAATAATTTAAAAAGTTAAAAAGGAATTATTGAATCACTATACTGTACACCCAAAACTAATATAACACTGTATGTTAATTGCACTGGAATTAAATTTTTAAAAATAAAAAATAAAGGACAACTGGGTGGCTCAGTCAGGTGTCTGCCTTTGGCTCAGGTCATGACCCCAGAGTCCTGGGATCAAGTCCTGTGTCAGGCTCCCTGCTCAGTGGAGAGTCTGCTTCTCCCTCTACCCTGCCGCCTGATCATGATCTCTCTCTTTCTCACTCTCTCTCTCAGATAACTAAATAAAATATTTTTAAAATATATAAATAAATAAATAATAATAAATAAATAATTTAGTTCATCAAAAGCTTGGAATAGTCTCTGGACAACTAAATTAGAATGTTCTCTTATACTGTGCTCGGGGCCTAATAATTTCAAATGACCTTGGGTAAATCCTATCACCTTTTCAAATTCCATTGGTCAAATGTGGTGTTGGCTCCAAAAAAAGTGGTATGTGGCATTTGTGGTTAAGATCACAGACTTTCGGTATAGATTTAAACCTCAGCTTTACCACTTATTTGTCATGAAATCTAGGGGAAATTGTCCTCTTTGAGAAGAACTTCAGTTCTGCAGGCCATGCAGTCTGTATTGTGATTACCTAATACTGCCATTGTCCTGTGAAGGTGGCCATAGACAATACATAGATCGTGTGTCAATAAAACGTTATTCCATAGACACAGGTGGCTGGTCCAATTAAGCCTACGCCATAGCTTAGAGATGTCTGATCTATGAGACAGAAATAATAAATAATCACGTACCTTCAAGGGTTGTTGTAAGAATGAAGTTGGTTACTACCTGTTTCTTGGCACCTGATAGACACTCAACAAATAGAAGCTGTTATCCTTATTCTTCTTATTATTATCTTCACTATTTCTAAGCTTATTCCAACTCCGTCTGTGACAATGGATCTATGGCTGTAAGACTTACTGGATGAGCAGAACAAATTTCACAATGGAAAATTACTTTTCTGAATGGAGATCTACGTGGAAGGAACACAGATCTGGGAACATAATAAACAGGAAACGTGGGGGTTCTCTGTGGCTCCCGGCCCTGAGGGTTCCACGTTAGGAGGACAAACCCCTGCTATTTCGCTTCAAAACAATAAATATGTAAAGCTAAGATATCAGTTTTCCTTTGTAAAGTGACCTGGTACATGGCATTATGTTCCTAACTACTGGGGCATGTTTTTCTTTCACGTGGTGGTAGCTTGTCTACACAGCGTTGTTTTGTTGCTGTTGTTGTTGTTGTTTTTAATTTTTATTTATTTATTTGACAGACAGAGATCACAAGTAGGCAGAGAGGCAGGCAGAGAGAGAGAGGAGGAAGCAGGCTCCCTGTCAAGCAGAGAGCCCAATGTGGGGCTCGATCCCAGGACCCTGGGATCATGACCTGAGCCGAAGGCAGAGGCTTTAACCCACTGAGCCACCCAGAAGCCCCTATGTAGCGTTTTTAACATCTAATTGAAGACACTCATTGTCATTTGAAACCAACTGTTCAGAGTTGAAAAACTTGGATATTCTCCCACAGTATATTATCTTAACACAAACTGAGATAAATGTCATCCCACCAAAGCTCAGGGCAAAAAACTATGCCATGCAAATGTTTATGTTTTTAGCAAGGTTGTTCTGTATTAGTCTTGGCATCTTGGGAGTCAGTCTGGGGTAATTAATGAGGGCTGGTGACTGTTTTGGACAGAAGCAGCTGGGAAAACAATGATAAGTGGCAGCTAGTGAGTTATCCCCATCCCACTTCCCATCCTTCACTCCAATCAAAATCTCAGTGTGGGGAGCCTGGGTGGCTTAGTTGGGTCAACGACTGACTCTTGATTATGGATCAGGTCATGATCTCATGGTCGTGGAACCAAGCCCCACATTGGGCTCCACACTTAGCACGGAGTCTGCTTGTCCCTCTCCATCTTCTCCTCCCCCTGCTTTCTCTCTCTCTTTCTCTCTCAAATAAATAAATAAAATCTTTTTAAAAATTCATAATCTCAGTCTAAACTCTTGAGTCAAGGGGCGCCTGGGTGGCTCAGTGGAAGTCTCTGTCTTCAGCTCAGGTCTTAGGGTCCTGGGATCGAGCCCCGTATCAGGCTCTCTGCTCAGCAGGGAGCCTGCTTCCTCCTTTCTCTGCCTGCCTCTTTGCCTACTTGTGATCTCTCTCTCTGTCAAATAAATCAATAAAATCTTAAAAAAAAAAAAAAAAAAAAAAACCTTGAGTTGACTCAGTGCACAACATTTTGGATTCCCTATAACTGGGGTTGAATGTACCTACTATGCTAACTTCTTCAGAAAAAGAAAAAAACAAAAACCAATAACAGAACTTGATATTAAGTAAAATATATTTATTTTTGTTTATAAATTTTCACACTTGCTCTTAAGAAGTTGGTCTTATAACACTAAACATATAAATTATCAGAAGATATCAACATTTTGCTTTTACTATTACAATGGGAAACAAGAGCAAAGTAGAAACACTTCTGACTTAAAAGATAGGAGAGGAGGGGCACGTGGGTGGCTCAGTGGGTTAAAGCCTCTGCCTTCGGCTCAGGTCATGATCTCAGGGTCCAGGGATCAAGCCCCGCATCGGGCTCTCTGCTCAGTGGGGAGCCTGCTTCCTCCTCTCTCTTTCTCTCTCTGCCTGACTCTCCACCTACTTGAGATCTCTGTCAAATAAATAAATAAATAAAAATCTTAAAAAAAAAAAAAAAAAGATAGGCGAGGACAAGGCTATAAAGTGCTGTGGCATTTCGCTGTGAAATGGTATGTCAGGCACAGAGCAGAGTAATTCATCCACATGAAAGCTGTCCATCGGGGCAGAGAGACAACACCATAGCTATCTATTTCCAGCTGATGGGATTGCCACGTGGGATCTAACATGGAAAATGAGTGGGAAGAGGGGCAAAGTGTTTCAAGGGCTGAGGGTACCAGTCCCCTGCAGGATTTTAGGTTGGTGGTATTGGTTGGTTAGTTGGTTTTTTTGCTTGTTTTGACCAAAAAATATAATTGGGTAATAAGGCACCCAAATTATTAGGGCTAATAATCACGGGAATAATCTAATAAATAACCTGTGTTATTTTAACTGTTATCAGCAATAGTCAACATATCAGTAACTCATTTTTCATTGTTATTTACCGTTAGCATCTATTTTTATGTTATATTTTCCGTAGATAGTAAGCGTTTTCAAATGGCCTTGTTTGTGTTCCTGCTGATTCATGCTGACTCTAGAACGCCGTGCCTGCCCATAGCTTTCAGTCTCAGTTGATTAAACACGACATACGAAATGCTTCAGCCGCTGACATATTTGCATCGATGTTGCAAAGGAGCTGGGGCTATTTATGCAGTCGTGTTGCGCACCAACTGCGTGTACACACGGTCGCGGTGCACACGTGGTGTCAAGCCACATTCCCGCCCTGAGTGAAGTCGGGGACTTCGGGGAGAAACAAGGCTGCAGGACCTGTGCAAGAGCGCGCGCTCCCAGCCTGCCAGCCGCTCCCCTGCATCACCCCGGCAGAGGCCCTCCTGGGTGGTGAGGGCAGCCCGACTCTCTCACCAGTTAAACCTTCGCTCTGTGCTTGGACTAAATCCAGAACAACGCTGACAGGCTCCTCAGCTGCCAGGAAGCAGACTGTGCTCACTTTCACAGATGTCGCTGGAAATCTATGAGTGAGTTTTAAGGGGGTGACTTTTAAGGGATGGGAGGTTAAAACCTAGGTGGGTCCGAACACAGGGTCAGCAAAAAGGAAAAAAAGAACCCAGCACTAAAGTCGTGGCCCCGAGCCATTCAGGAGGACTTGAGTGGGGAGATCAGCGCCTGCGGACGCTCAGGGCATCACAGGAAAATCCCCTGCTTGGGATGCAGGGGGTCATGGATTATTTCTTCCAGGCACTGAAGTGCAGGTTGCAGGAAAGAAGAAATGGTAACTGTTCGTAAAGTGATGGGAGGTTGACAGCTACATTTTTCTGTAGCGTAAGAGGAGTCATCAGATAATTCGCTGCTTTGAGTGTGATGGGAGTGGGGGTTGGGGTGGGGGAATTCTTCATCTTCTAGAAAGCACAGGAAGAAAACAATTTACAAATTACCCATCTCAGGGATGTAGAGTTTCCTCCTCTCAAATGGTACTGTTTTTACCCCCTCTTCCAGATTAACAGATCACAAAGGGCACTTGGGTTTTCACTCAGTTACCCACAGCTTGTAATCTTAAAAATCCCCAGGGTAGAAGGCGTAGCTGTTCACATTCTTAGAGGGAGGACCAGATCCCAAGCTGTCCACAAGCAGGGACAAAGCCTGGCACCCAGGGGCCACATGACAGGGCCCTGAGTTCAAATGGAGGAGAAGAGAGCTGGGAAGGCAGCTGTGCCCCCGGGACTCCTGCGGCCCCTGCCCCTCCCCGTTGCCCATGGGGACGCCGAGCCACCTCTATCAGGCAGAAATCCTTCCAAATGCCTACAGAAAAACAGATATGTAGTAAAAATCTGTGAGTAATCATTTATTGTTTGTTTCTGTACATCAGAAGCCTCTTTTCTTACAGGTGTCTCGGCTTCCTGTCCCTCAGCCCTTTGTGGGGGCCACGAATTGGACCCTCCTACAGGGGGACTGTGGTTCAGGCAAGGCCCTGCCTCGTCGGGTTGGGTGGCCTGTGTGTGCAAACCCAGGAGGCTTTCCCGATGGCTCCTTGAAGCAGCAAGTTCAAATCCGAGTTCTTAGTCGAAGGAAACGGAAGAGATTTGGACACAAAAGGGAATTACCGCCAGGCCTCAACCCCCACCCCCGCCGCAGGTAAGAAAATGTGTCCCTAAAATTGACTGTCTCTCTGGCTTCCTTGTCTATGTTTCCTCTTGCGAAGCCGTCGCTGGAGCTGCAGCTTACTGGTGAAGAACATCTGTCTCCAGCCCACGTCCTCGGCCAGGGCACGCATGTCCGGTGTGATGGTGTCACAGGCGGACTCCACTATCTTCTCCCACAGTTTGTCCGATGTGCACAGCTGCGGGCGGGAAGAGCCAGAGGTGGGTTATGTCAGACCCACCAGGATAAGGACAACTCACTTACTCACTCACAGAATCACTCCAGTTCCTGTCGTCTGTGAGATACTAGAGGAGATGTGACGTGGGCACAAAGGCGCACCAGACACGGTTCCCACCTCCTTCCTCTCCTCTTGGAGGAAAGGCAAGTACACGAATGCCTGAAGGATGAAGCGATATTTGATTCATGGAATAAACCAAGTCATGATCTCATTTAAGAATAAAAATGTGGGCGCCTGGGTGGCTCAGTGGTTTAAAGCCTCTGCCTTCAGCTCAGGTCATGAACTCAGGGTCCTGGAATCGAGTTCCGCATTGGGCTCTCTGCTCGGCAGGGAGCCTGCTTCCTCCTCTCTCTCTGCCTGCCTCTCTGCCTACTTGTGATTTCTCTCTGTCAAATAAATAAATAAAAATCTTTAAAAAAAAAAGAATAAAAATGCAAGATAGCTATAAATAGTACATATAATATATTGCTTTTTTTAATTTAATTATTTATTTGTCAGAGAGAAAGAGAGAGCACAAGTAGGGGGAGCAGTAGGCAGAGGGAGAAGCAGGCTCCCCACTGAGCAAGGAGCTGGATGTGGGACTCCATCCCAGGACCCTAAAATCATGGCCTGAGCTGAAGGCAGACGCTTAACCAACTGAGCCATCCAGGCGCCCCATTTACAACATTATACAGTTAATTTATATACACAACATTATATTGTTCATTTCCAATGAACCACCTAACAGAGGCTGACAACGGTGTGGTTGACCGACCTTCCTCCCAGTGCTGCAGTACCTTCTCAGGCGGGAGCATTGTTAACTCCTGCTGGGCTTGCCTCCATTTTATTTTATTACTACTATTTTTTTTTTAAGTAGGCTCCCTGTGGGACTTGAACTCTCAACCCTGAAATCAGGAAAGCTGAAACCAAGAGCAGGTCGCTGAACTGACTGCGCTACCCAGGCGCCCCCTGATTTCCCTTTTCATCAGTTCCATTCAGTGGTCGTTATTCATGAAAATCCAGAAGTGGAAAGCTCTAGGCATGGCGGGCGAGCAATTAGAAGCCCAGGGTACCTTTAACCAATAGTGTCAGAGCACATTGGCCTGGGCAACTCCCTTCTGCTCGAGTCCCTCTCAGACATGGCCCAGCTGTCCGAACCCCCACAAAGGCTTCTCTTACAAGGAGGCAAAGAAAAGCAGGAAGCCTGTGGGCCCCTCAAAGATCGATAATGGATGGCACATACTCTAAGGGCAAGAAATTTTGTGTTCATGGCCACATTTATTTATTTATATATGCCAATTTATTTTATTTCATAAATTATTTACTACTAATCTGAAGCAGTCTCGTACAGGATACAGTCATGGAAAGGAAGGCGTTCAGTCAACTTACGCACAATGTTGCAGAAGAACCATGGCGGGCAAGGAAGGCAGATCCATATCTAGAATGGGGCCAGGATCCGGAAGGACAAACTGCTGCTTCATCCATGATGAAGTCTGGGTGTTACTGACCTGCCCCCAAGTGACTGACTGGGCCCCCGTGGAGTACAGCCTTTCCTGGGGCTCACTGTTAGCCTCTCCTGATGCAATAGCCAGATTCATCTTGAGAGGAGGAGGCTACTGTTGAGGCCACACACAGACCCCGTCCTTGCCAGCGGCCATTTTGTTCATGAACCCAGCAAACAGGAGGGTGCCTGGGGAAACGCACTGCCTTTCACAGAGCAGAGCATTTGACCCACCGAATTACTGAAAACCTTCTCTGCATTAGTGCCTTTTGCTGAGCAGTCCCATGGGACACAGATATCTTTATCCTCCGGCTTACGCTGAGAAGTCCATCCAAATACCCCTTCCCTAGGAATCACCACAAATCTCCAAATCTGGTTCTCTTCAAGACGTTGACCGTCTAACCAGAACAATAGCCTTTAACCAGGAGAAATCCAAGAGCTGTTTTTCAAAAACAGAAACTTTCCTAAAAACAAATTCTGGTCTTGACTCTAAGGCCCTGGGGCACAAGCTGTCCTTTCCCTCTGGAGGCGTGCCCACAGGTGTCAGCAAAGGACCCAGACAGGCCCCCGCCATGGAGGCTGCAGACCCTTGAAGCATCATTGACTCTGCGGGTTCATGAGAGGCACGGGGCACACGGCTGCTTACAACATGATCCAGACCCGCAGCTGGGCCCCACTTACGACTGACGGCTTTCGAGCTATGTGGAAAAGCACACTCAAATTGCATACGTACCTTGAAAAAAAACATCCACAAGGAGCTGTGGCTGCTTCCTTATGATAGCAAGTAAATCTAAGGCACGGGATCTTCGTTTAATTTATTGAGATGGCAGGCCTCTCCGTTTTTGCACGGCTCATCTCTACCCCGTTGGCATACGCATATGTTGCCAGAGCATCTGTAGTATAGGCTACCTCCTGCTTATCAGGATGACATCATCAACATTGAGCAGCCCATAGGACGGCGCCAGGATCAACAGCTCTGTGGTCTAAGACCACGGCCAGAGAACTAATGGGATCCAGATGCAAAATGAAGAAGGTGTACTGTCCTGCCCATCAGGGGAAAGCAAGTCCACTGTGCTGTGCTTACTGGAAAGTCCAGGAAGACAGGAGGATGGCGTGTGACAGGGTAGTGGCAAGGGAGGAGGTGAGAGATGGCTGGACTGTAGATTTGTTTTGAAGGTTGAGCTCATAGACTTGTGAATGAATTAGATGAGAGGTGAGAACAAAGAGAAGAATTAACGATGAGCTGTTTGGCTTGAGCAGCTGGGTGGATGGTGTTGCCAGTGACTGAGAAAATAAGACTGTGGGAGAAGCAGAATTGGTCAGTAGGTATGTGGCAGGGGGCAGGTGGTGGGGGGAGATGTCAAGAGGTCTGGTTCTGGCATGTCAAAGCAGCGATGTCTATACTCCTTCTAGGTGGAAGTGCTGAGCATGCAATTAGACTTAAAAGTAAGGAGTTCAGGGGTGCCTGGGTAGCACAATTGTTAAGCATCTGCCTTTGGCTCAGGTCATGATCTCAGGGTCCTGGGATCAAGCCCTGCGTTGGGCTCCCTGCTCAGGTAGGAGCACAGGTGTGGAGCCTGCTTCTCCCTCCCCCACTCTGCCTGCCTAAGTTCCCTCTCTTGCTGTCTCTCTCTCTATCTATCAAATAAATAAATATAATTTAATTTAATTTTAAAAAGAAGTTCAAGGAGACAACCTGGCCTGGAAACACACGTTTGGAAATTATCAGTGTGTAAATACTATTTAAAGCCCTGGGGGTGCCTGGGTGGCTCAGTGGGTTAAGCCTCTGCCTTCGGCTCAGGTCATGATCTCAGGGTCCTGGGATTGAGCCCCGCATTGGGCTCTCTGCTTAACAGGGATCCTGCCTCCCCCCTCTCTCTCTCTGCCTGCCTCTCTCCCTACTTGTGATCTCTCTCTCTGTCAAATAAATAAATCTTTAAAAAATAATAATAATAAAGCCCTGGGATTAGATGCTATCACATAGGTGTGACTGTAGAGAGAGAAAATGCCCAGGGAAGAGCTCTAGGACATTCCAACATGAAAGCAGTCAGAAAATAAAACAGTTTCCAGCAAGGGAGTCTGAGAATAAGGAAGAAAACCCAGACAGCAATCCAGTGTCTCAAGGCTGCTGAAAAGACAGGAATTTACAACTGACTGGTGTTTTTGTAATATCGTGGGCAAATGGTAACCTTGACAAGAGGTTCCCATGGCAGAGTGGGGACTGAATGCCTGGCTAGAGTGGGTCCAGGAAGGGACAGGAGAAGACAAAGTGGATATAGCAATTATGGTCACTCTTTTGAGGGAATTTTGCTTGAAGAGCAGAATAGGGAATCAGGTCAAGGCATTTTTTTTTTTTAATGTGCTGATGGAAATGACCCAGTAGTGGGGGTAGAACTAGTGACAGGGACAGATGCATGTGCAAAGTAGCTGAGCAGAGGAGCTGAAACACACAGGTGGAAATGTGACCTTGGGTAATAAGGAGGAGAACTTCTTACCTGGGACAGGAAGTTTACAGAGTTGATGGACAGAGGGATGAGGGGAAGGGACAGTAGGGCAGTCCTCTGGTGACTCCTTCCAATTCCTTCATGAAATAAGAGGCCACAATATCAACTAAGAGTGAGGAAGCAGGGGACTTCAGGAGAGAGAAGAGGGTGTAACATAGACATCTTGGAGGGTAAAGGAGAGTAAGAAACTCAGTTTCTAAGACAAAAGGTATTTTATGTATAATGTCGTCTTTGGTTCTGAGTTGGTTTTTAATGCCAGACACGTTCAAAAAATATGGTCCCAAGAAACACAGAAAAAGAGAAGTGAAAGAATGAAGGCCTCTTGTTTCTAATGCTGAAGATGGGAAAGCAGGGCTCTGCGTTCAAGACAGCACACTATTACGACCCTGCCCGTGGGTAGATGCATCTTGATGTGTGTGCAGCTCCGTTCTGGATAGCTGGTTTGTACAGCGCAAGACGGCAGCATCTCCAGTCCCATATGGTCCCCTGAGCAACTGGCTCTGGCCAGCGGGAGGTGAGGAAAGCAGTAGCCTTCACCCCTAACCTGTGGGCTCAGACTGGTATGAATAGCGCAACATCGAAGGGTTGATGCCCCAAACATTGGGTCATGGGGAAGCCCAACTGCTTCCCTTATCTCTGGGAGGAAGGCCTGAACGATTGATTACCAGGCAGCCCCCTCCCCCAACACACACACACACACACACACACACACACACACACATAGCAGAGCTGGTGTCAGCTCCAGCCCTGGACACAGCCCTGCTCTGCCTGTTACTACCTCCATTTCTACCTGCCCCTCACAAGACGCACCCCGCCCTGAGTATTAGGATTGGAACCCACCCCAGCATTCAACAGCCATCTAAAGGGGAACAGTGGGTGCCCCTGATTTCTGTCCTCCTATTATGGGCCACCATTTCAGCCCACCTGGCCTATAGCTGACACCCACTCCCCTCCCCATCCCTAGCCCCAGGCAACCA